GATTTTTGAGACAGGGTTTCTCTGTAGCTTTTTTGGTTCCTGTCCTGGAACTAGCTCTTGTAGACCAGGCTGGCCTCGAACTCACAGAGATCCGCCTGCCTCTGCCTCCCGAGTGCTGGGATTAAAGGCGTGCGCCACCACCGCCCGGCTGGCTGGTCCCTTTTCTATCTGCCCGCCAGCCTTGCCTATCCCTCCTCTGCCTAGCTATTAACCACTCAGTTTTTTTATTAGTTCAATCAGGTGCCTTAGGCAGACAAGGTAGAACAGAACACACCTTTTCATAGTTAAACAAATGCAGCATTAACCAAAGCAACACATCTTTACATAGTTAAGCTAATACTCCACAGCATAGCTCCACTAAAGAGAGCGCACGCACAAACACCAACAACCTCTGGGCCTGCCTCTCAACCTCAGAGGCCCTGCCTTGCACCTCAAGTCCTGTCTGGCAGTTCCCACTGAAGGTGGTATGGCAGAGCAAGATGCCTTTGGTTTCTCCGTGGTCCAACCTCACCTCGGGGTCTTCTCTTCCTACAGCTCCTTCCCACCTCAACATCCAGTCCCTTTCCCAATCCCTAGCAGGTCTGTATTTGCCACTTAACATTCGAAACTCTCCACCACGCCTTTGCCCACCTGTCCCATCTATAACACAGCCAAGACTGACTAGGTTGTTCCTCTTGTTCCTCAAGGGAAGGAGATCCATTTCCGCTCAGGGCTGCTCCTCACATTCTGCACCACTGAGCAGATGGCTCCACTCTCATTAGATCCGTCTACATTTTTTTTCTTTTGCTTTGCTGTTTATTGCTTACCAGACCACATCCTGTTCCTCTCATTGAATTCCATTCTAACCTCACATCTTCCAAGAAGTCTATTGGGCTTATGTTGATTGATGGTGGAGTCACTGTCCGAGTCAGTCATCACAAAGGTCACTTCTCATGTTACAACACCCTTTACTGTTCGAAAATCCTTGAGCACAGAGCTATGGGAGCAGTTACTATGGGCCCCATTCCGTATGCTTGTAATCCAAAGTTGTGTATCAGTGACTTGCCCAACGTCACCCAGGTAATAAGGTGCTCAAGCTCAGATCCGTCAGCTCTGGAGTGCCAGGATGCTACTGCAACATCCTTCTCCATCCCTTGACACCATCACTCTTACAACTACACTCTTTCTTTCTTTCTTTCTTTCTTTCTTTCTTTCTTTCTTTCTTTTTATTTATTTATTATTTTGGTTTTTCGAGACAGGGTTTCTCTGTGGTTTTGGAGCCTGTCCTGTAACTAGCTCTTGTAGACCAGACTGGTCTCGAACTCACAGAGATCCGCCTGCCTCTGCCTCCCGAGTGCTGGGATTAAAAGACGTGCGCCACCACCACCCAGCTACAACTACACTCTTGTTTGTGTTGAGGGAGTTGGGTTTTTGGTTTCTGTATCTTCATGTTCTTTTTTTTTTTTTTTAAATATTTATTTATTTAGTATACAGTATTCTGTCTACTTGTATGCCTGCAGGCCAGAAGAGGGCGCCAGACCTCATTACAGATGGTTGTGAGCCACCATGTGGATGCTGGGAATTGAACTCAGGACCTTTGGAAGAGCAGGCAATGCTCTTAACCACTGAGCCATCTCTCCAGTATCTTCATGTTCTTGTTGGCTATATTGCCAAGTGTTTATTATGTCTGCTTCAGGTGATTATGTGCCCACAGAAGTGATGGACAGAACAGCCTTTTCTGACAATGTCTCCCAATCTTAGAGTACGGACAGCTACGGGATCTGAGCCTGGGGATAAAGAACGGCATAAGTGACATGGACGCTTGTCGGCTTTAAGTGCAGGGCAGCCCCTCCATGGGGGAGTGTAGACAGAACGCTGATGAGAATAACAGTCACCACTTGCTGAGTACCTGTGGAGGGTGAGGCGCTACGCTAGTTCTTTATTTACATTATTTAACCCTTACAACAAATTTCTAAGGGAGGTATTATTGTTATTGGCAAACGAGAAAACAAATGCTCAAAGATGTGGGGGCCAAGGTGCAACCCACATTTGTCTGACCCCCAAAGGGGCATATAAATAGCAGACTTCGATCTGTACATTTAAAAATATGATAATCCCTCACTCCCTGAAGACCAATCCTACCTTTGGCTCTCCCTTTCCCAGCCAAAAAAAGCCAGGGAGAGGAAAGCAGGACAGGTTGTACCTCATACAAAAACACACGCATGCATGCACACACGCACACACAGACACACACACACCACTTATATTTGTTACCACCACCCTGATTTCATAGCTAGGGTGGGGGCTATAAGGGGTGAGTTTCCCCAAGACCTTAGTCCCCTTCCCTGGTGCTAAATAAAAGCGAATAAATACTAAATAAATACAACTGGAATCCAGGACCCATCCTGCCTTCCCCTCTCCCTCCTGTGACCTGCAGGGCAGAGGAGGCAGTTTAGATAGGGGGCGTCTCCTAGCCCCTTTCCATTCACCTACACGTCGCTGCCTCCCAGGGCAGGAAGCTAGGGCAGGGCCAGCCTGCAGTTTAGGGCAGAGAGGCAGGGCAGGTTTCGCCCTCTACAGCACTTCCCTGCTGTGTTTTAGCATGAGGCAGCTGCAGAACCCCCTCATTTTCCCAAATGAGTCCGAGGCCCCGGCACCCCAAAAGGGCAGCCGGGAGAGTGAGGTTATTTCCTGCCGGCCCAGGGACGCTTCCGAATGATCTCCAGAATCTGTGCCCGGCGGTGCAGCCAGTCTTGGGGAGGAGGGCGTGGTGTTGAAGGAACTGGTCGCGGAACGAAGAAGCTGTACCGCAGACGTGCGTTCTGTGGGTTGCCGGCCACCAGGACTTGCAGCGTCAAGGGTTGGGCCAGAGGCCCATGTCCAGACAGTGTCTCTGAGGCTGCCGTGGCTCCGCTATAGCGCAGACTGACTGCCCCAGGAAGTGTTACATCCGTGGCGGAGGGCATCAGCGTGTATTCACCATTGAGGGCGTAGGAACCATCTGGAAGCTTCAGGGCCAGGTAGATGCTCCTGGGGCCAGAACCTCCTTGCTGCCGTACAAGAATATGGGTGGCCCCGGCGGGGATAGTGACCACATCACTGTATCCGTACCTGTGAGGAAAAAGTACGTGAAGAACTCGGAATTTCTCGAATCCCTTCAGCTTGCCCTACTGTGTTTGCCTGAGTGTGTGTGTGCCTCTTCAGGCTTACACGAGACACGTATCCACCTGAGAACAGAGCTACCAGCAAGTGTGTCTTCCTCACTGGACAGTTCCTATTGCTGCTTTTTATTCCAGTGTCTTTCCAGTCCCGGCCTCCTAGGGGCCTGTCCAATTCCTACTCTTAGCTCCGAGGTCACCACCCCGGGAGGCCTTTCCTGGTGCCCTCAAAGGCTCTTACAAGCATCCTGTGTCCCCTCTGTCCACCGTGTGGAACCCTGCACTGTAATGTCTGCTCGTCTGTCTCCTGCTTTAGCATTTAGTCCCAAGCCCATTACAGCAACCGGGAAAATAGAGGGGAAACAGAAATGGTGAAAAGACCTGAATTTTCTGAAGGAGCCCGACTGCTTGCTGCAGCTAGAACCATTCCCGCCGCAGACCATGCACTTGTCAAACTTCTTTTTGGAGCCAATAATCCGGTCACAGCCAGCATGGATACAGCGCCCCTGGACACAGACTGAAGAGCTGTCTGGGGAACACGGAGTTCCGTCTGCCACCTGAGGAGTAGAGGAGGGACATGGCTAAGGGTCTTGCTAAGTTGGCAGGGGTTTGTAAGCTAAACATCTGGAAAGTGGTATCAGAAAAAAAAATGGATAAGGAAGGGGGTGTAGTGGGGCTTTACTTATATGGAATTTCTTTCTTTCTTTCATTTTTTTTTTTTTGAGACAGGATTTCTCTGTAGCTTTGGAGCCTGTCCTGGAACTAGCTCTTGTAGACCAGGCTAGCCTTGAACTCACAGAGATCTGCCTGCCTCTGCCTCCCAAATGCTGGGATTAAAGGTGTGCACCACCACCACCCAGCCTCTACAGGATTATAATGACAATAGTAATATGATCGTTTTCCCAGCATTGCCTGTGAAACAGGTGATGTGCAAAATGCTTTATAAACAAAATCTAGGTCCCACAATTACTACATGAGATTTCTAAGGGTGAAATTATGAGGTTTAGAAAGATCACAGACTGAGAAGGCAAGGGTTTTTAGTCCCAGCAACAAAAATTTAATGGTATGGCCTCCAGATGGACACTAGAGGGCAACAGACCTGTAGGAATTTTCTATAGACTACTGGGGACGGGAGGGGGTCCAAAGCTGGTAGGCAGGGCACGCTTTGCCTTGAACCAGCCACTCTGTATTACAGAGGGAGTGTCCAAATGTCAGTGATTTCTGGGAGGTCTGTCCATTGAGGACTGGCTGTCCAAGAGTCAATACTTTGAGAGAGGACTCCATGGAAAGGAGAGTTGAGGACCTCCCCAAAAGGCCACATGCTTCCATTCTCACCAAATGGGGTACAAAAGGATGGACAAAGAAGGAAGGAAACAGATACGACAAGTTAGAGCAGCTTCCCCGGCCACATATCCAGAGTTAGGCATTTGTCTTCCTAATACTGGGTGTGGACAGACAAGACAGTGAATCTGTAGGCAGGCTGACGTGGTGTGATGCACTCCAGCAATGGTCTGGAGGGACCCCCCCCCCCCCCCCCGCTTCCCGGGGGATCACTGGGAAGCGTGTAAGCCCTGACTGGGCCTAAGGTTTCTGGTCCTCACCCGTGGCTCCAGTACATAGTAGTAACCCAGTGCCCGAGCCTGGCAGGTGAGTTTGCACTGGTCTCGTGGGGCTACACCTGTGTAGCGTGGGACCCAGTCCATGGGCCCTGGGAAGCTCTTGAAGAGGTCCGTCCTGTGGTTGTAGGCAGCACACTGCTCCTCACGGAAGGTCAATGCTATAGGGATAAAATGGGCAGACTGAGCCTCTCTCTCCTCCCACCAGCCCACACAGCCTTCCATCCACCTAGCCTCTCAGAACTTTAGCTGGCATGACATCTCTCTCCCTCACAGACTGCCAGGGACAGTTCTAGAAAGATAAAGAACCCCCCCCCCCCGGAAGCAGAGTCAATCAGCACCTTAGTTCGGCACTCTAGGGACAGCACCTCTTCTCTAGCATCCCCTCCCAGGGCTCTCAGCCTTCCCAGCTCTCACCTGAGCCAGTTGGGCAGTTCTCAGTGTTGCAGGAGCGGAAACGGGTACGGCGACCCTCGCAGTACTTGCCACCATTCCGGGGGACGGGCCTTGTGCAGTCCCGGGAGGAGAACTGGACACCACCCCCACAGCTCCTAGAGCAGTCACCCCATGGTCCCCAGGGACCCCAGCCCCCAGCCTGTGGAATCTGCAGAGGCACAGAACGGAAGTGGGATAAGCACACTCTCCTAGGTTTAGAACCAGTCTCCTCCCCGCAGGCCTTTCACCCAAGCCGTGCCCTGGGCTCTCACATCGAAGTCCTTGAGTTGGTCCACGTGAAGACAGCGGCCGCCCATGCAGGCCTGTGCGGACCCGCAGGGAGTACCGTCAGCCCAGGGTGAATGCTTAGTCTGGCACATAGCATGGCCGTTGAGGTGGCCCGAGCACCAGAGGGCAGCACAGGGTGGTGGCAGCTGTGGACAATGGCGTGAGTCAGGCCCAAAGGTCAGTTGGCACTGGCGGTCGGCATCGTAGTCCTTGCCAGGAAAAGTCACTGGCAGATGCAGGGGAGCCTCTGGTTTGTCTAAGAGACAGTGCCCTGGAAGGGGGGGGTTAAGGTACAAAGTTAGCAAGAGCCTGAGGTGAGCACTAAGGATTGCCAACTGGAAGCCTGGTGGCTAAGGTACCCTCAGCTACACCGTATTGGATGTTTATTATGTGATCAGTACTGGTAAAGCCTTGAATCCACATGACCTCATTTACTAACCACACCACTGTGAGATGGCTGTTAGTATAGCTAACTTATTGGTTAACTAACTGCAAACCCAGAGAAGCCAAGTAACTTAACCCGCATGTCTGCGTGTAACATAGAGCTCGGTCAGCACAGGAGCCAAAGCGCTTCCGCCTGATCTTACTCACCATAGAATTTATTATTGTTTCTAGTATTTGGGCTTTGAAAACTTTTTTTCTTATCATATTCACTTATTCATCTGCACAAGCCACAGCACATGTATGGAGGTCAGAGGGCAACTTGCAGAGGTCGTCAGGTCATTGGGCTTGGCAGCAATCACCTCAACCTGCTGAGCCATCTTGCTGACCCCATTTGGAGTCTTGGGGGCAGAGATTCATTCACTCCACAGCATCACATAGCTTGGAACTCACTATTACATAACCGAAGCTTGCCTGGAAGTTATGTGGCAATCTTTCTGCCTTAGTTTCCCCAATACTAAGTTTATAGGCATATGTTATGCTGCTTAGTTCTGCTATACATTTTTTTATCGATATGGTTTCTATACAGTCCTGGCTGTCCTGAAATTCACTATATAGACCAGGCTAGTCTCAAACTCACAGAGATCCATCTGCCTCTCAGTGCTGGGATTAATGGCATGTGCCACCATGCCCATCTACAGAATTTTTGAGAATGCCTCTAGTCAGTAACTTTGGGGAGCTGGAGAGATGGCTCCACAGTTAAGAGCACTTGGAGAGGTCTGGAGTTTGGTTCCCAGCACCTGCATCAAGTAACTCACAAACTGCCTCCAGTTCCAGGGGGTCCAACACCCTTTTTCTGGCCTCCATGGGCATCTTCAAGCTTGTATGCATACACATATAAGCACATAAATAAAAAATGAAATAAACTTTGGAGAAAGTCATTCTGCTGTCTTGTACACTTTATCGAATGACAAGGTAATTACATGATTTATAGCCAATCCATTTAGACCGGGCTGGCCTCCTACTCAGAGACCCTCCTGCCTCTGCCTCCCAAGTGCTAGGATTAAAGGTGTGCCACCATTGCCCAGCTTAAAGGTGAATTCTAATTGTATGCAGCCAGTATTTGCCTCCCTTACCTGTGCTATTTGTTTTCATAGGGAGTGGGAACCATACAAAGATAGCAGCATTTCTGACCCCATCACGTACAGCAGAGGCAGCACACATGGAGGAGCCAATAGGGCCCATAGAGAATGTTCCAGAAAGAAGAGCCCAGTGGGAGAGGGCAGGAATCGAGTCTTATTCTGAGAAAGATGCCCCCTGCTTACCATAGCCATTGTCCAGGAAGTCAGTGATGAAGCGGGCACTGCAAGGGGACCAAGGCTCTTCAGGATCCACGTGAGCCATAACTGGAGCCATGACGTGGCGAGTGGAGCCCCCCTGCCCGTTCAGATTAACACATGGCTTGGAGTTATCATGGAGCATGTTGAAGACATGGCCTGTAAGAGAAGAGATCCTGCTAGCGTCCAAGGGTTCCATCCTGTGTCCTCGGGAGGGGGGGTGGTCCCTCATAAGCTTAGTTGCAGCTGCTGCTGATTAGCTCCACCTCCCCTCCCCCATCTCAAATCTCCTTATAGTTCTCTGAAGGTTCCATGTGTAGCCCCTATTGCTCTGTCTTCTCTCCCCAGAGGAAAGGCCTCTTCTGCTTGTTGTCCACTGTAGCTAACACTCCCAATCCTCAGTCCCCATTCCCTTACTCTCTCTCCTTCTGAACATGTAATTCATGTACATATATACAGTTCAAAGTTGTTCCCACCTGCTACTTTTTTTTAATAGAAAAAAAAATCTATGTTTGTCTGTACCCAGAACAGAGAAGGAGATTGAACTTGGACCTAGGCCTGGGGAGGAAGAGGAGGAGGAGAATACCTTGGTACCCCCATTTGCACTCTAGTGAGCACCTTAGCTCCTTATAGCATCCCTGGTACCCTTCGGTTCCACTTCAGGGGCCACACTGTCCCAGTGCTCCCTTACCCAGTTCGTGAGCAGCAGTGAAGGCTGACTGGAGTCCGTCGTCCTCCACAATAGCACAGCTCCGAGCCGGATCACACACTGTGCCCACATCAGCCATACCCAGAGTGTCACAAGTAGAGACGCCACACAGGTCCTGTGGAGGCGGAGCACAGAAGACGCTTGGGGCTGATACCCAGATTAGTGAGGACCCAGCATGGTCAGGGCCTGGATGGTCACCCCACGGCAGGATGACTGGGGGCAGGTACATGTTGCACGACTTTAGGGCCGCCCTTTCCATCAGGTTTGTGTATGGGCAGTGTGTCTTCGTGTTGTGGTTCTTTGGGTGTGGTGCTGCCTGGGAGCCTTACCTGACGGGTGAAGAGAATGGCTGTGTCAAAGTGGTCAGGATCTGAGTCGTCAGGGGTGTTGAGGCCCCGCTGCCAGGCGCAGAAGCTGCGTAGGGTCTGGGCTGCACTCGGCCCCACTTGGGGCCCTTCCTGGCCTGACCCCAGGATCACTAGCCGAGTCACCACCAAGCTGACAGGGTTTCGGATGCTTGGGTGCTTAAAGGCCTTGGCTGCTGCAGCCATAACTGTCAGCAGGTACCGCTTTAACCCTGTACCATGGAATGCTGCCATCTTGTCATCGGCCACCACCAGTGTCTCCACGAATCTACTCAGAGAAGCAAAGCGCTGAAGAGAGGGGGGAAAAAAAGAAAAAAAAAAATGAGAGGAGGGTCCTGAAATAGCCGCCCAGGCCCATGGATCCCTTCTCCTCTCCCTCTCTTCCTGGGTCTAGAACTCAGCAGAGTCAGCTGGCTCTTACATGCCTCACAGGATTCCTGAAGTGACTGGTTTGGACCCTCCCCCTAACCCCAAAGCGCAGGGCTTTTGTGGTAATGTTGAAGAATCAGCTGTTGTTCTGAAAGAGGAGAAGGCTTTGCCACGTTTCAGGGCTGAGTGGGCCCCAGAGGTGAAAAGCAGCTGGGATTGCTTTGGGGAGGGGCACTGGGGTCCCTGAGTGTGGCAGGGGTTGTCGAAGCAGAGCTAGAGAGAGGGCTGGGCTGTGACAACGACCGACGACCGACGTGTCTGCCCTATGTGGTTGGAGGAACAATTCAGTCAGCAGCTAGGGTCACGGCCAGATCTCAGCGTGGCGGGTGTGGAAGGAGCGTCTGGTCTGGATTAAAGCTAGAGAAGGGGGGGAGAGAAAAAAAGGGGGAGACCCAGGAGTGGGAGGGAGGAAAGGATGGCGCCTCCTGCAGCCTAGCAGCCAGCCCACAGTGTGGGAAGAGGATTGACCCAGAGGTATGGATGCTTCCCCTCGCCTGGCCTACTTCGCCATTTGCCAGAACAATTTTAAAGGCAACGTCAGAAGCCAAAAAAACCCAACCCCATCAGGCCTCAAACTTCACTTCTCTAGCTGGGGGTGGGGGTAAAAATCACTGGGGCAGAGAAAAGAGCCTAGGCCAACAGGCTGTTGGGAGAGCTTTACTGCTGGGAACTGTGTCAGCAGGAGACTCCGCAGCCAGGAAGGGGCGGGGTGTGGTGGGGAGGTCGTTACAGCCCAGAGGATCTGTGTTACCTCGGGGAATCCTCAGAGCAAAGCAAATGGCGAAGGCAGGGAGAAGCCAACACTTTTCAAAGTAAGGGTAGTGGAGATAGGAAAGGCAGAGAGGAGAAAGGCTGAAAAGCTAGAAGTGGAAGTGGGAGGAGAGAGGGTGAATAGGGGTCAGTAGGACAGACTTGGCGGGAGGATAATACAGGACAAAAACTCCACGGTTGCCTACCTTGGTTCTTCGGGGAATGGGATTGGGGCTCCCAGAAGGAGCCTTGACGTTGCACATGGGACCTTGGCTGCTGTCAGGACTCTTCCGACGTAGGATGTGAGCCCCTGGTCCCCCAGCAGAGTTAAGGGAGCCTCCCTCCAGAGGCTGGAGGTGAAGTTCAGCCCCTCGGTACTGCAACACCCCTAGTAGGGCTCCCCCGTCCCAGTGCAGAGATGCCACCGACTCCGGATCTCCATTGATGGTGCCAGTCAGGTAGGTACCTGGCTCTGCCCCGCCCAGCATCTCAGGTGCCTGGCCCAGGTACTGCACTGTCAGCCCTTCTACCTGGACCCCAGGGTCCTGCTCTAATTCTAGTAGTAGCACCTCCCCAAAGGCTGGCAAGCGGTACAGCAGCCTGGCAGGGGTACCTGAGCCAGGCAAGATGCTGCCATTGAGCTTCTCTGGAAACACGATTTCCTCCTCCCGAGGGAGGGGGCTGGCTGCCCAGGCTAAGGGCAAGAGGGAGGCCAGCAGCAGCACCAGCGACCGCCTCCACTCCAGACCAGAGAAAGGCACTGTGTGAAGCTGCAAGCGGAGTTGGGTTCTTCTCAGCCAGTGCCCAGTCAAGCCCCTCCCGGGATGCAAGCCCATCTGGGACATGGTACCGGTGCTGCAGCTGGGATGGATTGAGGCCATTGGAGGCATCAAATCCTCCCCACCCTAACTATGGAAAACTCCTCGTTAAAGCCGGAGGGGCTCGGATTTGTGCCAAAATCTGAGGCGAAGTTTTTAGAGGGGCTAGGGATGTTCAGAGAAGATGAAGAAAACAGTCCCTGGGCTCTAGAAATGCGCCTAAGGACCTCTCTCCTCCAAAACTTCCTCCTGTGCCCTTCTCTCCTGGGTCTTTGTCTCTCCCTATCTGTGTCTTCTTCAGCTTCTCTGGCTTCTCCCTCTGCCCAGTTGTGGCTTTCCCTCAGTGCCTGCTCTGTCTCTGCCTCCCTTTGCTGTCTCTTTGTCTCTGTCTCTCTTCTCATCAATCTCTTTCCTTTCTGTGTATCAGTGGGTCTCCCCCGGGTTCTCCCCAGTCTCTCTCCCCCCGCCAGCTCTTTTAAGCATCCCGAGCCTCCCTCTGTGTGTGATTGGCTGATCTGTAAGCCACTCAGCCAGAAGCTCAGTCAGTGGGACTCGGACGCATGTATCATCGCTTCCCAAAGACCTTAGTTGTTTCTTTTCTTTTCCTTTTTTTTCTTTCCCTTAAAAAGAAAGGAAAAAAAAAAAAAGAGGGACTTGCCCAGGGGAAGGGAATCTCTAGCAACCAGATGCATTATGGGCACCGAGCCAGCTGATGACACATCCTTTCCCCAAATCCCACCAGCAGCCCTCAGCTGTCTCTTTCCCTTTTTGGTGGGACAGAGCCCCAAGGGAAGCAGGGACTCGGGGAAAGGGCCTGGCGAACACACACAGATGAGATTCTGTCCTGGGAGAATTCATGTCCCTACTGTCCAGCCTGGAATAGCCTAGACGCCCTCACATGTCATTTTTGCTGCCCTCTACCCCAGAGGTTGATTTCAAGCTGTCTGGGTTTAAAAGGAAGTGGCGAACAGGTAAAGAAGTATTAAGAGAGAAGAGAGGATGGGACCAAGTGGAAGAGGCAGTAGAGACAGGAAAGCAGGAGACAGCAGTCAGGACCTTTCTGTTGGGATGAAAATAAACAGATGGCAAAGGAGGAGTCAAGTCAACTACTTTTCTTTTTAGAGGAGGAAGATCCAGAGTATATCTTTTCTGCTCGCTTTCTCTCTCTCCCCCCTCTGCTATGCCTTCCTGAGTTACCCCTACCCTATCCAAAGCATGGAACAGTCATTCCACCCTAGGCCTCCTCCTCCCCGACTTCCTGACTGCCCATTCCCCTGGCTCAGCTCCCAGTAGCTTCCCCCAGGCTCTTGGCTCTGTTCCTACCTACTCCCAACTACCCCAAACCCTCCCCCTTCCTCAGGTCAGCCAGCCTCTCACCTAGACAAGACCTGCTCTCTTGGGAATCCAGATTACTCAAAGTCAATCCCTGCTCCCCCCTCCCCCACATTTCGAATCCAGTGGTTCCTGGAATATCTAGTAATCTTTGACTCCTCATTCTCCATGGGACAGAGGGAGAGACTGCAGATAGCATTTGAGGGTACTAAGAGAAACAGGAGCCTCGAACCTGGAATGGGGCTAGTGATTGGTGGGTACACGTGTGGGGTGTTAGAGAAGGGAGCTAATGACTTCTCTGATTCAGAACTGGAGGGGACTAAGGAAATTAATAGCTGACTCTGAAGGCAAGGAAGCAAAGGGTTCAGCAGTGGGGCAATTTCTGTCCACTCCACCCTGTGTCCACTTGTTTCCCCAGGAAATCCCCAGGAAGGAGAGTACACTCAGCAGTCCCTTCCCTTTCCCAGAGAAGCACCACCTCTCCTACCCCATCCCCTTTATTCATTCTCTGCCTTGTCACCTCCTGTCCCCGATGGATTGGACATCCATCGTATTCATCAGAAGGCTTCCTCTCCCCCTCCCTTCCTGCTCCAGTCACTAATACCTGCCCTGGTGCCTATCACTTCCTGAATTACCCGCCCTGTGGTGACTTCTAGTCTCTCCTCTTGACCTCATCACATGCCCTGGCCCTCCCTGGTCCTGAGCAGAGGGGTTGAGGCTGGAGGAGTCACACAAGGGATGAGGGACCAGAAGGGACAGGGGCAAGAGGAGCTGTCACCAGGGTGCTCTTATTGCTTCTTTCCATCCCCCCATCGGGAGATGAGAACAAAGAGGGTGAGTGAGCAAGGCAAGACAAAAGGCCATAGAGTGGCAGCTACAGCATGTGGGGGGTGTTGGCAGAAGGGAGAAGGCACAAAAGATGCAGTGTTCTAGGCAGCCCCCCAAGAGTCCTCATCCCAGTTTCAGCTTAGACTACCCCCAGGGCTAAGCAAACTAGAGTCTGTCTTCTCATAGGCTGCATTAACACAAAAACGAGTAACCCCTCCTCTCATCATTATTGCATTTAGTGTTTAAATTATATTGCAGGGAAGAAGGCCTAGAAAAGGGAGGGGATGTAGAGGGTAGGGGGACCAAGCCTCTGCCCTGGCTTTCTGGGGGGTTGCCTTGTCTACATCAAGTCTTGGTCAGTTCCCACAGCCCAGGGATCTCTAGCCCCACCCTTTGGTATGGTTCCCATTAGGTCAATTTTCAGCCTAGAAATCTGGCTTTCTCCTCTTCCTCTACAGCTAAGAATTCTCAGTGCCACTCCCCTGGTCGGTCTGCTCCACCCAGCTGCACTGCTGGTGGGCTATATCCCAGAGACCCTGTCTGGGGGAGGTGTGGGGGAGGCCTCTTTCCAATGAGAAAACTGTAGAACCTCAAAGAGTGGGTGGCCCAGCTGGAGCTGGGCTTGGAGACAAAAAGAAAAAAAAAAGAAGAAAAAAGAAAGAAAGAAAAAAAGAGACAAAAATCAGCCTCCAGGGCAGGAAAACTCTTTGTCCATACAGAATTAGGCCCAGAGTCCTGTTATTATTACATTTCTATGTTATTAGATCCTTCTGAGAAGGACTGTGGCAGGGTGAGACTGTCCTGAATGGAAGTAGGGTACCAGCTATCACTAAGAACGCTTCCTGAATCTGTGATTCTGTAGGGATAGAAGGGTCACTGACAGAGGATCTCCATTTGTAAAAAGGTGGCTCCACACCCTTGCACGACACTACCAATGCTGGTGGTCTTGGCCTTCGATTCCTTTTTGTTTTGGCTAGCTCTCAGACCCAACTGAACTTTTCCACAATCTCTTTCCATAATTCTGATTTCGGACATCTGGGAATTAACTCTTGGATTCCGTAAAGAAAGGACCGTTCTCAAAACCTGAGCCTTCAGAAAAATCGGAAAGCCGTGAGGACTACCGCAGAAGAATGACGAAGATGGAAAGGAATAGTGAAGGAACACCTATGCAGAATGTGCAGCGGAGTCCTAGAGGGAGCGCAGTTGTAAATTCGAGTGCAGAGTGTGGACTCAGCGCGAAGTGTGGGATTCACTGCGGAGTTGCCTCAGGAGAGAGCAGTTAATTTCTCTTACGCCTAGAAAAGCCGCAGGAGGGACGTCCTTACTAAAGATGACAGCAGTCGTAGTTATTTAAGCGCAAGTGAGCCGGAGAAGCGAAATCCGGATGTTGTTGCGTTCGCAATTGACCGCCCTGCCAGCTTCCAAGATGGTGGCCCCATTGTGCCAATAGAAGAGAAGCCCACAAGGAGGCGCACGGGATTCACTTCCGCCCGGTTCTCCTTCTTACGATCTGCAGCCCGGGAAAGATGGCGGCACTGCGGGCTGTGTGCTGCCTCCGCGGTGTCGGGGCTCAGGTGCTGCGGCCCGGGTCTGGGGTCCGACTGCCGAGTCAGCCCAGCAGGTGAGGAGGAGGCCGTTCCTGCCTGCGTTCTCTTCGAAACTAGGATTTCTCGAGTCTGAGGACATCTCAAGGGCCCTGTGACCCCTGAGGAAAGAATGACCCAGGCCTCTGACCCTCCTTGCGCAGGCCAGGTTTCTCAGGTCCCTAGATACAGTGTCCCTCCTGTAACGGAGGATGGGGCAAGCGGGGAGAGGGGTGAGTTTGTTTTACCAGAGGCGAAATAGGTGAGGCGGAAGACCTTGCCTAACAAATTAATGACTTGAGCGTACTTCCTTTCGTTTCGGAAGGGAGACCCCCTCCTCGCCGAGCCCTCTTTCCCCTAGTTCCTATCTTTCGCTCGCATATGCCAGTTTGCATTTTCTTTCTCTCCGTCCTCCTTCTCTCCTTCCTCTCTCTTAGTAATCTTAGATTTACCATGAACAAATGCTGTTCTCAACATTCGTATTCATGCTTGGACCCCAGCTTTGTGTGTCCAAAACTGCACTATGGCATTGAAGAGCACAGCCCTGCAATACGGGTCTCCCTTCTTTGGACCCATCTGCATAAGAGTGAATAGGATAGTTAGGAACATATATGCATATACGAATATATGAACGCATGCAATAGCAATTAGTGAAAAAAAGGCCATGGATTTGAAGGAGTTTGGGAGGGGCATATGGGAGGGTTTGGAGCGGGAGAAAAGGGAGAAATGTGGTAATTAAATTAAAATTTAAAAACACTTTTGAAAAAACAGTGAATGGGGACAGAGGAACCAAGCACACGGTTCGTGCTGTTTGCATAGGATCTATCTTTAATTCCTCAGAGGCGCTCGGCAATGGCAGCCAGATATAGAATGGGCAAAGCAGTTTGCGGGAGCTGTCATGTACCCCTCCAAGGAAACAGCCCACTGGAAGCCTCCTCCTTGGAATGGTGAGTGCTCAGAGCTGCTGTCTCGAGTCATCAAAATCTTGGCTGATTTTTTTTAAAGTGCTGTTGGGTTCCTTCTGGTTCAGGCAAAAAGTGGTAATAGCAGGGGTTTATTAGTTAGAGATAGAAAGGAATGACAGTTGTCCTCAATTAACACTGAGAGGTCCATGCCATTAATGTCAGCTTTTTCCAGATTCAATACACTTCTATCTCTTTGTGGACAACATGGGTTTCCTAAAAGCAGTTGAATGAAACCTATTTAAGTAGAATCATCTTTTCCCCCCATCAAAACTAGGTGTTTTGGGGCTAGAGAGTTGGCTGAGTTAAGAGCACTTAATGCTCTTGTGGAGGACCCAGGTTCAATTCCCCGCATCCATATTAGGTGCCTTATAACTCCAGTTCCACAGGATCCACTGGCCTCTTCAGGCAACTGCATGTAGGTGGTGAACATTCATACATACAGGCAAACCACCCATACACATAAAATTTTAAAAAAATAGCCAGGCAATGGTGACAAACACCTTTAATCCCAATACTCAGGGGGCAGAAGCAGGCAGATCTCTGTGAGTTTGAGGCCAGCCTGGTCTACAAGAGCGAGTTCTAGGACAGACTGCAAAGCCCCAGTGAAACTCTGGCTTGATAAACAAAACAAAAGTCTTTAAAATAGGAAAAGATCCAGAGAGCTGCCAATAAAACAATAATGAAACAGAACCAAATCAATTAAGCTCTTTTGGGTTTTGTATTTTGAAAATATACAGGGTCTTGTGCTGGAGCTATGGCTCAGTGGTTAAGGGTACTAGCCGATCTTTGAGAGGATCTGAGTTCAGTTTCCAACACCTACATGGCAGCTCATAACCATCTGTAATTCCACTTTCAGGGAATCTGATATTCTCTTTTGCCCTCCAACTGCACCAGGCATGCATGCGTTTTATACACACACACACCACTCATACACATAAAATTTTAAAAAGAAAGAAACAGGGTTTTGCTGTCCAGATTGGCCTTAAAATCAAGATCTTCCTCCCTGAGCCTCCTAAGTGCTAGAACTACTCTTCCTCTTGATCTTTCATTTTGATCAGTGGTACCATGATTGTCATTTTTTGTTTGTTTTTTGAGACAAGGTTTCTCTGTGTACCTATCCTGGCTGTCCTAGAACTCTGAAGACCAGGGTGGCCTTGAACTCTCAAAGATCCTCCTGCCTTTGCTTTCCAAGTGCTGGGATTAAAGGCATGCACCACCGCTACCTGGCGTCCTTTGTTGTTTTTAACAAAATCTCAGTTGTTCAGTTTTTTTAATAAAGATTCAGGATCAGTAAAGACTAAGGCGCCAGATGCTAGGGTGAAAGTCTGCCAGGTCAGAGAGGCAGAGAAAGCACCCAGTTTATCGGCTTCCTCTACCAACTTCTCAGAAGTCTCCTTCCTTTTCCTCCACCATCTCTAACCAAACTCCTTAAACTGAATTTCTCTCCCTTCTACCTTTCTGTGTATCTCTCTATCCTGACCAACTCTAAATTTTTAAGGTACGTATGTTTTCATCAATAGTTTCTTTTTTTCTTATGGATGCTTAGCCTTAGCTTGGCTTATTTCTAGTCAGTTTTTTTTTTAATTTTCTTTTTTTTAATTGTTTTTATTGAACTGTATTTCTCTGCTCCCCTCCTTTTCTCTTCTCTCCCCTTCTACCCTCTCCCATTGTTGTAGGAGCTGTGGGCTGTGTACCTGCCCAGCTCCGCATGGCTAGCTTTACCCAAAATAACTACACGGAAACTGTATTCTTTTAAACACTGCTTGGCCCATTAGTTTTAACCTCTTATTGGCTAGCTCTTACATATTGATCTAACCTGTGTAGCACCACGAGGTGGCTAACCAGGGAGGATCTTAACCTGCGTCTGTGTCAGGTGGAAGAATCATGGTGACTGCCTGACTGGGCTTTCTTTCTCCCAGAATTCTGTCTGTCTACTCCGCCTACCTAGTTTTCTGTCCTATTAAAGGGCCAAGGCAGTTTCTTTATTTAACCAGTGAAATCAACACAAAACAGATGACTCTCCTCCATCATCCCATGATCCTCATGCTCCCACTTTACTCAGGAGATCTTGTCGTTTTCTACATCCTATGTAGTTTAGATCCATGTATGTCTCTCTTAGGGTCCCTATTGTTGTCTAGCTCATATAGTCACTTTTTTTGCTTGTTTTTTTTTTTTGAATTTATTTCCTTGTTTTTTGTTGCCCCCTTGCAATATTTCACTATTAGACCCCCAAAAGAAACAGAACCCCTGCAAAATACAGAAAGGGTTTACTGAATTTTTGTTGCTAATTTTTGTCCCATCTTCAGGAATCCTATATAGTGTCTTCATCTTCCCCAAGCCTCATTTTATATGTTATTATTTTCTAAATATTTTTTTTATTATGTATACAGTGTTCTGTCTGTATATATTCCTACAGGCCAGAAGAGGGAACCAGATCTAATTACAGATGGTTGTGAGCCACCATGTGGTTGCTGAGAATTGAACTCAGGACCTCTGGAAGAATAGCCAGTGCTCTTAACCATTGAACCATCTCTCCAACCCTGGTTTCAAGTCTTAACTCTCTTATTTACCAGTGAATGGAGTGTCTACTGCATTTCATGACATTGTTGTGAGGTTGTGGTTTTTCAACCTTCCTAAGGCCTTTAGTACAGTTCTTCATGTTGTGGCGACCCTCAACCATAAAATCATGTTTGTTGCTACTACGTAATGTTTATTTTGCTACTTGTAGATGATCTTTCTCATTGGAACCACCAGCTCACAAATAATGACATGGAGATTTATTATTGTGAAAGCTGGGCCTATAATTTAGGCTTGTGCCCCTAGCTCTTATAACTCAAATGAACCCATTTTTGTTCGTCAACATGTTGCCATGTCACTCGTGGCTTTTTTTCTCTTTCCTCCTGCATGTCTTGTTTTCTCTTGCATCCAGCTGGCACCATTTTTTTTTCTTCCCAGAGCTCTCTGTCTAGAAGTCTGGGCTGTACCTCTCCCTAGCTAGTGATCATTTAACTTTTTATTAAACCAATAATAGTGACACATCTTCACACAGTGTAAAGGAATATTTCACAACATTTCCCCTTTCTTGTATAAAAGAAAGATTTTAACTGTGAAC